AAATCTGTATTCAAGTTAGTGCGTGTTATGTAGCATGGTGTTGGGGGTGAAGAGTGGTGTGTGTATTGTGTGGTGTGTGTATTGTGTGGTGTAGTGGTGTGTAGTGTATGTGTGTGGTGTGTATTTGTGTGGTGTTTGTGCGTGTGTAGTGTGTGTATTGTGTGTCGTATGGAGGTCATGCATGGTGACTGTGTGTGCATGTCATGTGTCTGCCATATATGTCTGTGCATGTGTGTGGTGTGTGTCTTACAGTGTGTGTGGGTGTGTGGGAGTGTGAGGTACGCAGCACGTAGAGTGGGTGTATGTGAGTGTGGTGTGCATGTGTGTGGTGTGTTATGTGGTGTGTGTGTAAACGTCATGTTACTTTATCCCGAGGGCTGTCTTTCCTCCCTTCCTTTGTGGTGCCCCCTTTACCTCTAGGTCGTCGAGCAGAGGGGCCTGTTTGTGTCCTCATTGAGTGGGGCTTGGGAAGCAGGTGAAGATCTGATCTTCAAGTCCAGACTGGGGTAGACAGATGGTCGGCACCGACCACAGGGTCTCAACACACAGCAGGAGGAAGCCTCACATTGGGCTTCTTTCCTGAGTGCACCGGCAGAGAGCACAGCAGAAGAATTCATGGGGTAACAAAATAACACTGACAAGAATAGCCAGTGGGGACTGTGACTCTAGAGCAAATGTGGGCCTGTGTGAACAAAGGGGAGCCTTGTAGAAAACCCAGCAGCATCTAGGCGGACCGTCAGCCTCAGCAGTCCTGCTGCAGAGCCGAGCCAGACCTCACACAACTGGAGGCTGTGGACCTGGTGGACACCAGGACAGGCTGGACATCACCTTTGGAAGCCTGCAGGGTCCATAGCAGACTTCAGCAGGTGATGCCTGGAGGATTCATCCAAGGACCTCACGGTGTGCCTGTCCTAGTCTGCCCAGGTGTCTGTAACAGAACATCATAAACTGGGAGGCTTATAAACAACAAAAACTCATTTCTCACAGTTCTGGAGGCCGGGAGTCCAAGATCAAGGCACTGACAGATTCAGTATTTGGTGAGGGCTGCTTCCAGGTGGATAGAATGCAATTCCTCGCTGTGTCCTCATGTTGGGGAAGGGGCAAGAGGTCTCTCTGGACCCTTGTATAACGGCACTAATCATGTTCATGAGGACTCCAACCTCATGACCTAGTCACCTTCCCAAAGGCCTCCCCTCCTAATACCACCATCACCTGGGGGTTAAGACTTCAACATTTGAATTTTAGGGGGACACAAACGTTCAAACTACAGCATTACCTTTGCCTTGAGCACAGACACACTTTTAAGAATTCTTGTGGTCTTCAGCACAAAGATTTCTTCTAAGTGGGATGTTGTCAGTTCTAAGTGACATCGTTTCTAAGTCCGGACATCCTGTGTCAGATGGGTGTCCACTCTGCGTGTCTGAGTTGGGACGGAACCAGGACAAAGATGAACACCAGGATCCACTATGCACTTGTGTAAGTTGAATGTTTGTTTTATATAAGCTTATACTGAGCATTACTATTAACAGAGCAGCTTAGGAATACTAGGTTGAAATAAGGGTCGACCCTTAGTTTAGCTCAAAATTAGCCTACTCTGTATTACTTTGTATGCTTTGCAGAAATTTGTATTAAACAGTTCTAGATACAATCATAATTTATTGTAAAAAAAAAACTTCCTTAAAACACACATTCTCACAGTTTTCACATCTTTAAAATAAAGTCTCACGCTATATATTTGATTAACGCAGTGTTACATTTATAACTAATTTTGAAAGTATCATGAGGGCTGAAGGTTAAAGGCAAGACTGGCGGAGAGACCACCGACTGGAGACCAGGGGCAGGTGGCTTCCCTGCTGTCAGCTCTCGTGAGAGCCCAGCAGTTGCACCAACCACAGGTCCCATTCTCCTTCCCACAGCTCTGACAGCCATTCCTCCCACACACCTATGGCTCCAGCACGTCGTCATCGCTAAAGTCTCCACACTTACTGATGGAATGAAAGCATCAATAATTGAACAGTCTCCTTCCCCCCAACCTTTCCCCCCTGAGCTTGGAAAGTCTAGCTTTTAGGTCCATGGTAATTCTGCTTTGATTGCAACAGTTTCCAAACCTGCAGCAAGTGTTAGTTACCCAGAGGCCCAACCCTGGGATTATCCACCTTCAACTTCCCAATGCCCATAAAGAGAAGGGAACCTAATAAAAAATAATATTCACAACTAATCTCTAACGTTTATATTCATTTATCTATTTGTGATTTAAAACTGAGATGTTATTCAATATTTCTTAATTGACGTCATTCACTTTCTATTTCTTCGTCAGACAGATATTGAACATCTACTACTGGATACCTATCGACACACTGATAGGCATCGTCCTCAGCAACCTCAAAGATGTATAAAACTCTCTAATTCGTGGATGAGAATCTACTGACTAAAAGTGCCACTAGCTTCAAAGACCCTAAACAATACTGCCCTTATATTAGGTGTAGGTAAAATAAATTTAGATGAATGTTGGGTCTGCCCCTTCTAGAAAGGTGCTTTGTGATATTCATTGGCAATTTTCAGCTTCTAAAACACTTCTGTTAAAAATAGAACTGTAAGGGCTGGCCCGTGGCTCACTTGGGAGAGCGTGGTGCTGACAACACCAAGTCAAGGGTTAAGATCCCCTTACCGGTCATCTTCTAAAAAAATAAATTAAATAAATAATTAAATAAATAAATAAAAATAATTATATATATATATAGAGAGAGAGAGAGAGAGAGAGAGAGAGAACTGTATGTAAAGGAAATATTTAATGCATGATATTGGATTTAAAGGGGGGAAATTATACTGTGAATTCATTCATTCAAGTTACTGTTTAAACCAGAAGATCAAAATGTATAGCAAAGCCAGGAAATGTCTGGGAAAACAGGATTCATATCTACCCCAAGTTATTTTTTTGTCTCAGCGTTCTCCCCTCATCCCACCTGACTTCCCTGACAGTCCCCACTCACAGCTGTGGAACCAGAGCATTGCTACACATCTCTCCTCTGTCCAGAGACGTTCACCGTCCTCCAGAGCCCACACCCCGTGGCCCATCCACGACTGTCAGCTTACAGAGGGGAGAGCTTGGGGACCCTGTGGTTGTAGGGTCAGAGCAGTGACCTCCCCAAAGTTTCCTGATGTTGGCTTACTTCAAATTATTACACATGCTTCAATCAAAATTACAGTATAACCATTTCTTTAAGTTTTTACTTTTTAATCAGTGCTTTAGTGTAATATAGCTACAGTTAACAGTAGCTATTTTAAATTGTTGGTATCAAGGATAGAGTCGAAGGGATAAGTGAGGGATTTAAATAAATCAGCAAGAAAAAAGAGGAGACAGTGAATTCCACCCCCACCCCACCCCACCCCCACTGCCCAAGATCATGGCCCATTCACCTTGGTTACCTACGTATAAGTTGTTCGGTGTGCATTACTGTGCTGATAGAAAAACATGACTTCAGAAGGGAAGCAATCTTCTAGGGATTTTTTTTCGTTTTTTTTTTGTTTGTTTGTTTCATTTTGTTCTGTTTTTAGCCTGTTCGGTCTTGGTATTGTCAGATTTGGAAATTTTTGCAAATCTGATGATGTGAAAAGACATATCAATATTGTTTTAATTAAGGGTGAATATTTTTTTTTGAGAATTTCAGTAATTTATTCAACATATAGATTAAATTCATTCCTCTTATTAGATTACCGTTTTCTGGTTTGGTTTTTTTGGTTTTTATTTTAATTTATCAATATACAATATAGTTGATTTTTGTCTCTTTATCAATTCCTCCTCTTCTTCTCTCCCTCTCCTCTGACCCCCCATCAACATCATAGCTATTCACATGTCTTAACAAAATCAAGTTGTTGTTGTGATTTTTATGTCTTCTTCCCTCCCCCCATTTGTTTGTTTATTTACTTATTTATTTTTATTAGCTCCCACAAATAAGTGAGAACATGTGGTATTTCTCTTTCTGTGCCTGGCTTATTTCACTTAATATAATTTTTGCTAAGTTCATCCATGTTGCTGCAAATGGTAGTATTTCATTTTTTTATAGCAGAGTAGTATTCCACTGTGTAGATATACCACATTTTCCTTATCCACTCATCTGATGATGGACATTTGGACTGGTTTTATAAGACCCTGCACTTTTAGACCAAGAGGAAAAGCATCCCATTTTAAATCTCAGTCGTGCCTATCCCCAAGCTCCTGTGAGTGAGCGCTAAGCAAACTAACTTCACCCTGCGTATGACTCAGGGCTTTCTAAACTCCGTGCATGTTAGGTTCAGCGGGAAGCCTGCTCATCTCCCCATGTCTGGGTGCTATTGCGGTCATGGCTTCAAGGGTCATCTGAAGTTAACAGCTTCTCACTTTTGCTTTGTGTTTCAGACAGTGCCAATTGAGAGATCAGGACCTCAGGACAGAGAATGAACACGTCATTAATCCATTGAGATTTTTATTCTTATTTTTCTGCAAAGTTAATCGAATAGGTAGTAACAGTCTTGGTTAGATGTCCAGGAACTTCTAAAAAAATTAATAAACTTCCTGAGCTCCTCGTGGACAAGGCCTCTTTTAGAATAATTCATATCTGTTACTGAATTTGTAAATTATTCATCTTTTGATTAATATGCTAATTAAAGATTTGCTGTTAAAAAGGTATAATATCTTTCATTGCCTAAAGTAATTAGAATCAGTAATTGCTTAAACATTATGATTCTGATGTTAAATAATTACTATGAAAGTAAAAGGAAGGAGAAGATACAAAAATAATGCTTGATATAATTTCAACTATTGAACCAAATGACAACATTTTATGTTGTTTATATAAATATGTGCATATGCTTTGGAAGACTTCAATACTTGTTTCCTTTTCAAAGAGTCATTCACTTTTCATTTCACTGACACTCTACAAATGTAATTTTGCTCTCCTATAAACTATTTCAATCCATTTATCATATAAGCATGTATTTTATTTTAACATTTCTTCAAAGTGCTAGGGATGACAAGCTAATGAATGCTTAGAGTGCCATTCACAAATTATTCTGGGGCATTTCAGTGAACACTAGAACATAGAATCTTGCCCATCCCTGTATTCAATAATGTCCAAGCAAATTTTAGATCATGTAACTTTATTTGTTAAAAACAACTTTGTTACACACCCCATAATACATGTACATTTATTCTTATTGATTATTTTGGATTTTAGGTTACCATTGTCAACAATGCAATTGCAACTGAACTTGTCAAAGGCATAGAAAAAATGTGAGTTCTGCCATTTTCTTACTTATGACTTAGTAATATTATCCTTAATTCATGTTTTCTAGGTAAACATTTTCAAGTCACTTATGCATTTCTCTGTATGTTACTTAATTAAAACAAAATAATATATTCTGTCAATCCTATTATCTAGGTACTCTGTGATGTATACCAGCAGGACAAATGAACCAGTAGATGCAAGGTGTCCATTCCTCTGGTCATGGAATCCCACCCTTCCCTAGCAGAACTCGAGTGACAGGTAAGACACTTGGGTAGAGAAGAAAGTACCCAGTCTCAGTAGTAAATCAAATATTAATGTCATTTTTTAAAAGTATAGGAGAAAAAAAGTATAGGAGAAAAATTATTAGAATTGCAAATTCAATAATTTCTTCCTGTAGCACAGCAGGTCACTTTGCACATCTCAGAAGCAGGTGCACCTATGCTTAAGAACAGAACGTTAAAGTACAGCTTAAATGCTACTTTCTTTCATTTATGTGTTCCTGACTCTTTCAGCCTGAAATCATCATTTCTTCTAATGCCTCATGGCCTTTTACTGTCTCTCATGCATGACACCTGCTTTGTTTTTATGTAATAATAGCTAATATGTAATGATTGCTAATCACAGGTAATTCCTTATATCTTTTTATGATCTTTTGGCTGCTGATAATCAGAAATTTTCTCCCATTTCTGTTTGCATCATCATAACACCTAACTACAAACCATATTCTATAAGGGTTGTTAGTAAGTGCCAGTGAAAAAAAGAATAAATATTCCATCTGGTCTAATTTCCAGTGCGTATATGACAAGATACAATAGGCAGCGTTGAGACCCCATGGAGCACAATGTGACTGAGACAAGGAAAAAGGGGAGTATCATGGTTTTTGGAGGTGAGGACAATCCTGAGGCAGGATTCATGGTTTTTATCCAGACCACTGAGCAGCAATAGGTTGATATAGACAGATCTTTGTTATGCATCTTTTGGGCTTACTGAGAGAGGCCAAATGGAAGAGACGCTAAAGCATATTTGAGGGCATGGTTGATAATTTTTCTGGAGCAAGATAGAAAAATGTGATGGAGAACCTTGAATACTATTTCTCTAATAGTATATATGTATACATAATTCTGGACTGTCACGCAGTGGGGTCTTTGGAAATGGACCCACCCAGATTGAGTTCCTGAGCTATCATCTCTGACCATTTAAAATCTGTTAAGTTACTTTTACTCTCTATGCCTCAGTTTCCTCCTCTGTAAAATGGGGCCAGCCATACAAACTTTCAGGTATAGATGTGATCCTTGTATGAGAGGATGAGTGTTAATGGTATGATACATTATAGCTACCTGCAATTGCTAGTTTTCTCCCAATTTTCAAGCCTCCCAAACTCCCATTGAATTAAACACAAATGATCTTTGAACTATCCCATTAATTATAATCATGCAAAAATGAAATAATCTATTACCAGGATTATTCTATTTGGAAAAAAGAATCATTTTCTTAAATGGCACTGACAAGTTAGCTTAAAAACAATTTAAGAGCTGAGAAGAGCTTCCAAGAGTGCATATGGTTTTTCTGTGAAGGAAGAAATTAATAAATCATTGAAGGAGAAAATCTCCACTGTCATTAGTTTTTCTGCAAAGGTACAAAAAAAAATGGTATACAAGGCAGACACACTTGAAAAAATGCTTTCTTGAGATTTGCTGCCTGCTATTATATTGTTGGTAAAATTTTACAGTAAAACTCTAATGAATTTCTGAATTTTTAAAAAGCAAAGACTTGCAAGTGGTTCATGAGCTGAGAAATAGAGGTCAAGACCAAAGCATCCAAAAAAGTCTTATTATGACTAAAAGGCACTCGGGCAAAGTATGCCAACAGAGTTTCTATTCATGAGCTGAGAAATAGAGGTCAAGACCAAAGCATCCAAAAAAGTCTTATTATGACTAAAAAGCACTCGGGCAAAGTATGCCAACAGAGTTTCTATACTGTGAGCTATAACGGCAATTATGGTCATTTATAAATATTCATATATATAAATATTCATATATATTGAGTATATCTGATTTGTTACAGTGGCATTGCTGTTTTGTATTTACCTCTTTTACACAAGAATATGCCCTCCAAATGCTTGAGTTCCAAAAGAAAAAAACAATATTTGTAAAAGATTACATGAAAAATTGAAATGGAGACTTTTAGTTTCTAGAGCACATTTTTACTGATGGGAAAGAGGATTGGGACACGAAACAGGCACTTCTCCCCTAATTTGGCCCTGTCTTTAGCTTTTAAAGTGTGGTCCCTGAACTGTGGGTATCAGCATCCCCTGGGAATTTGTGAGAAATACAATTCTGGGACCCACTGAAAGGTGACTGGATCAGAAAATCTTGAGGTAGTGCCCAGAAATCTGAGTTTGAATGATTCCTCCAGGCGACTCCGGTGTACATTCAAGTATGAGAAGCACTGATCTATATACACTTGACACATTAAAATGTGAGTTACCATGATGACTTACATACCACAAAACTTTAGGATTGGGGGCTAGCAGCAGCCAAAGACTCAGTCTGTGTTGTTCCGATGAACATCCTTGTTTACTACCTTTCTTTTAGTGTTGAATATCAATGTGTATTGCTAGCTAGATAGATAGACATAGACCCAGGTATAGATATTAGATTCAGAGAAATAGAAATCCGTATCCCAGCTCCAAATTAGTTATTCATCTTAGAGAACAGCACCATGCCTGAGTGGCCATGGTGGAAATGGACTTGGACTCATGTGGAATACGATTTGAACAGAAGTTGTTTGCTTTCTTCTCCTCTCTAGTGCTCTCCCTTCATCCTGCATTTCCCCACAGCCCTCCAAGCTGATGGTTTTCTTGCCGATGTATATGAGATGAGGATGCAGATTAAAGAATCTCGTAGGTGAAGACACCTCGCCTTCCCCAATCCGTTTATTTTAGTGATGAGAAAATCAAGGCTCAGAGAGGCACCTCCTTCTCAGCTGAGTTTTATAAACTCTTTGCTGTGCCACAGGGCACTAGCAAGAAAATTCTCTTTTTTCCTGTTCAGTGAGTGCTGAGGAACAATGCCCGTCGCCAGGGAATTATCAGCAAAGAGCAGTTGTCACTGCCGCTCAGCTCAGCCTGAATGAGGACTTCTTGATAACGGTGAATGGAACGGTATACTGAAGTTAACAAAGCCGGGGATTTAATTCTGTTTTGAGGCTTCAGGCTATTTAGTTTTCCTAATGCCTGAAATGCTTTCTACATCTTCAAGTTAATGAATCCTCTAAAGTGCCTTTTCCTAAAAACAAACAAACAAAAAAAACTTACACCATTATTTTGAAGAGTAATTAAGTTAACAATATTAGTCAATCTACATTAAGAAAAACTTGCCTGTAAAAATATTTTATATTAATAATTTTTCAAAAAATAGGAGAACGGAATTATTTTTCCTCAACAAGCTTATGAATAGAATAGAAAAGTGAATTGATTCTTTCATCTCCAGAGATCTGTGGCTATAGTAGACGCTCACTCCATCTTTTAACTGGATTACTGAATAAATGAATACAGGAGGAAAAAAAAAGTCAATTTTTATGAGTTGAGTCTCAATGTCTGAGCTTTCATTCACCCAAAACTTCTTATCACGCCACCATCTCAAAGAGCAGGTGTTACTTGACTCAACAAATTGCTATTGAGTGTCTGCAATATACTCAACACAGACTTCTAAACAAAGGAATGTTGATATATGGTCATAAATGCAACAAAAATAGTACAGGGTACTGAAATAATACAGGTGGTGTGATGCATTTTTGCCAGAATGTCAAGAAATTCTTGCCCCTGAACATGAAATTCAAGCTGGGTTTTGAAGAGTGAGCGTGAGTGACAGAAGGCAGAGGGTGGCATTTCAGGAGCCAGGCAGGGCACAAGCCAAGGGTCGCAGGCACACCAGCACAGACATTCTGCATCCACCTTGCTATGCATGTTGAATGAACAGTGTCTGTTGAACTTCTGGAATCAGACCTAACACGTACATTTTTTATCACACATTTGAAGGAGGGTGTCACAGACCAGCGTTGCATTTATTTCAAGCCATCTTCTGGATGCTTCCTTGAACTCTGTAGATGCCTTTTAAGAAACCAACTCCTGTATACAATAATCAAATACTTCTCTATGTGCATACAGCCTTTTAAGCAAACTGAGTTACTTTATTTCAATAACAAACTGCCTGATGTTGTCTTCCCTCCCCCCACGGTCCTTGTATTTTTCATAATAGTATTAAACACATTAGTTTTAGGAATTCTTTCTACTTTAGTTGTTAACATCAAAGAAGTGAGCTTCTCACATAAATGCCCAGACCTGCAAAATTTTATCTCAACGTTAGTGCTGAATTATTAGATTGTAATGTTGACCAGGCTGGTGAGGAAATAAATAGCTGTAAGCCAGACTAGAAAAATACAAGTCAGCAGCCCAAAAGATTGGAAATTTAGCCTGTGAGATCAATTGATAGGTACTGGGCTATACAGTGTCACTTGAACTGCTGCCTGGGATCAGTAGCAATAAAATGTCCTTGTGGAGACATACAGTGTCAATGTGAGCATGCATTCACACCTGGGAACAAGGGAGAACATCTTATTTCATTTGATTTTTCTCCTACATTCTCTTTGAGGGAGTTGATTTGCAGTGGTTTCATTACATTTACAATTTTGGGAGACATTTTATAATGCCCACTAAAAGCATTGCATAACTCAGAAAGCCTTTCTTTTGAAAAACTGCACTAAAGCCAGTTACTGTATCAAGACATGCCTAGATTGGTTAACTTGTGGGTTAAATGACATCCTCCTATGATAATAATGGCTTGTAGCAACTGATTAATAATCCTCGTTCAGATGATTAATAATCCTCGCTGTTTATTAAGAACTTCCTTTGACACAGACAATATACCAAGTAGGCACTTTGTATCTCATATATGAAATCCTTTGAGGTAAATACTATTTTCTCTTTTTTAAGGGGAGCTTAGGGGTTGTGTAACTTTCAGAAATCCTGGTTTGTAAGGGAAAGAGCCATAATTAAATGCAGCTGTTTCTAGAGGCTGGATGATTTCCTCTTCTCTCCATACTTGCGTCTGGGGGTGTTCTCTGTCTACACTGGCTGGAACTACAACTGCATGTCTTCATGTCCCTCACCCCTTACCCTTTGTCTTTCCACATATACCTTTCTTGGGTTCTGTGTCATGCAACCTCTCTGAGTCCCAGTTCCCTTATTTTAAAAAATCGAAGCATAATTCTTATTGCATAGGATCATCCTGAAGGTTAAATGTAATCGTGTGTAGATTGCTCAGTGCACACAAAATTAATTTCTTCTCCATTTTGTGCCTCCCTGTTATGGAAATCTGCTCAAGGAAATTGTGTTTATTTGTTGTTTTTGCTGTTGCTATTTTTAATTCAATTGTATTGGCATTTGTGATTATTGACACCGCGCTCCCTTGTTGATTCTGGCTATAATAAGATAAATGAGGAATGGACTCTGACTTCAGGGTCTTCCTATATTGGATGCATGATACACAAAAACAACTCTGTGCATTAAGCTCCACAATAGCAATGTGACATAATGTCTGGGAAGTCATGAAGGAAAAGCGATTAATTTTGCATGCAAATCCTCGAGAAAGAGTGCGGTTCTGATGTTAACACCTTCTCTTCCCCTTTTTATTGCCTCATGCTATTATTTATTTAGCATATAGCCTTAATATCTGTTGGTCGTCAGGAGTACCACAATTCATCAAAAGGTTCTCCTCCAAATCTTGTTTTGTAAACATACGTTGTTGGTTTATAAGTTTATAAAGCATCTAAAAATAGAAAGCTTTGGATCTAATCTACCGTGTTAAATAAATAAAAAGTGATATTTATTTTGCCATTCCTTGTTGGTAACATTCTTTATGGTGTCTACCTATTTGTAGACAACTTGATTGTTAGGACTTGTAAATCCTGAGTCCGGGCTGCCCAGAACTGCTGACACTTGCAGAATAAGTAAAATAAGGTCTCTCTCAAATGTACCTTTTAAGTGAGACTTCCCAAGATTCTGACCATTTGTTATTGCAATTTCGTTTTCTGTGTGTCATCGGAGCTGGTGCTTTCATTTTCCACACTAGGAGAGGTTGCGCAGTGCAGGACCTTTGCCACCGTGAACATCTACAGCTGACAAACACCAGCCCCGCGGCCACCAGGCTCCACCACAGCCCGCCTTCCAGATGTTAATCATCGCAAGGAGCTGGTTTGTGGCAACCCCGCTATCTACCCTTGAGAGAAAGATCTCAGGCAGTGAGATAACAGAGTCGATTTTCCTAGAGTAAAAGCTCTCAAAAGTAAACAGTCCAAAGCATTGTATATATGTGTCTATTTTTCTTCAACCTTAGATTGCAAACAGGCAAACATTTCCTGGGGAGTCTTGATAGCACAAGTATGGTTTGTAGAGTAGAAAGGATTTTTCATGTTACCATGGGGACACCAGAGTGTGAAAAAATATAACCTTTCCCTCCCCTTAGCTCTTAAGATAAGTGCAGAGCTTGAATCCTTTTATCTTGGCCATTTATTTATTTTTATAAAAAAAAAAAAAAAGAGTAGGACTTGCCTCATTTCTTTTCTTTACGATGTTATGAAAGGCAGTGTTTTTACAGAAGCAGGAGACAACTGCAGTGCGAGCTCTCCCTGGCGCTGGATGGACCAAGGCTAGACTCCAGCCCTGTCTTCCCCCTGCAACTCCCAAGCCTGGTTTCCAAGTGAAGGCAGCGTGGGCCAGCACTAAGGATACTGCAAGACGGATCTGCATCCAAATCCTGACTTTGGGGCTCTTGAAAAGGGCGGCTATAACTCTACCTTTCTTGCAACGGAGAAAATGTTTGCAAAGAGTCTAACACATGGAGGTGAACTGTTGATGAATGCAAGTTGTTACAGCAGAAGCGACTCCAGACCAAGCTTAGACCTCAGCAGGTTACACACCCACCCTGGCTTCCGAGTCAAAACACCCTGTCTATAGGATGTTCTGGCGGGCAAAGTTGGAAATGCTGACCAACAGGAGAGAGGACAGTCCCTGTCCTGTGGAGGCCAGGTATCCCCCCACCTCACTTCTGAAAGGCAACAACTTTCTCAGGAAATGGCCAATTTCAGCACAAAATTAATCTTGATGTACAGATTTGTTTAATAAAAAGTATTTGAATTTATGAATGAGGAATCATGCTTGAATAGGTTCATTGAAAAAACATCTAGGAAAAGGCCCATCTGCTGAAGAAGCCGAGGGCAAGCAGAAAACAGTGCTCCTGTGCAAGAAAATTTAATAAATTTCCAGAATTATAACTTGTTTTAGTACACTACCAAAGTGAAAAGTCCCACAGAGGGGAGAAAGGACTCAGAACCCGGTTCGCCTTTGGCAAAACTTGGGAGGGAAGGTAACTGACCTAAATGTGGTGAAGAAGAAAGCAGTCAGCATTGCACCAGCTCCTGAAAAGCCCGGTGTGGGCCAAGATAACAGAGCTGAGGAACTTGGACCCCAGACCCAGAGAGTCCTGGCTCGGCAGCGCCCCCTGGCGCAGGCGCTGGCGCGGAGCCGCTGCCGCTGGGGAGGGGCTCAGACCCCTCAGTCCATCATCTCTCCAGCCTGCTGCTGCTGGGAGGGGCAGGCAAACCTGCAAGCCCAGAGCCTCAGAAAATATTCGCAGCCTTCGAGGAGGGGAGATGCCAAGTTATCTGCCCCTGCGGAGTAGGGGATCCTCCTGGGCTCAGCGCCCTGCCCTGGTACAATCCAGTCTGCTGGTGTTGAGGGAGAGGGAGCTGCTCTGCCCTAATGTGAGCCCAGCACCAAACAAGCAGCCCAGGCCGACTGGGGGGGTGGGGGCGGGCAAAAGCAGGGCTAGTGGGCCCTCTGGGGTGCAGGCAGGGGGTGGGGGGACGGCTCAGAGATTCAGCACGGGCTCGCCTCCAGGGCATCCGACTCCAGGCACCCCCAGCGTGGTTTCCTCTGACCTTGAATGATAACAAAAGTTAATCCAAAACAGGCAAGAGAAAAGAGAAAAAGAAACACAAGGGTGTGAGGATTGGTACCAAATAAGACGGCAGATATATGTCCGTTCTTTATACTAAAAATAATGGAGTAAAGACAGTGGTGAAAAGACAAATAGAATCTGACTACATAAATAATTATTAAGATCATTATTTTAACTGTAATAGTTAAAAATGACTAAATGATTATAGCAAGAGACACCTCTAAAAAGTAAAGAAAAAAATGAATTCCGGAAAATTTTATGTAAAGCAAATCTGTGGCGTGAATTTTAATATCAAAGTACGCTTTAATAATCCTTATAAAATGTCCTCCCTAACAAATGCAGTGTTGAAATCAGTGGGACGATGTAACAATACAAATTTTACACGTGTGTGATACTGTATCATTAAGGATATGGTATATTATACCGTATCTATACATCTATCAATCTATCACCCATCATTTAAAGTCAGACAGAAATGCAGTGAACCTCAGAGTATGAATGACTCAACTCTGCATAAGAGGAACAATCAGAGATGGCAGCAGCTTGGATTCCCAGGGCCTTGGGGCCTTATGACACTCACAGAGCACATCCAGTGGGGAGAGAGCGATCAAGGATATATATATATATATATATATATATTTTTTAAGAAAAAAAAATATATATATATATTTTTTTTTCTTAACAAATATATATATATATATATATATATCCTTGATCGCTCTCTCCCCACTGGATGTGCTCTGTGAGTGTCATAAGGCCCCAAGGCCCTGGGAATCCAAGCTGCTGCCATCTCTGATTGTTCCTCTTATGCAGAGTTGAGTCAGTCATACTCTGAGGTTCACTGCATTTCGATCTGACTTTAAATGATGGATAATAGATGGATAGATGGATAGATACAGTATAATATACCATATCCTTAATGATACAGTATCACACACGTGTACAATTTGTATTGTTACATCATCCCACTGATTTCAACACTGCATTTGTTAGGGAGGACATTTTATAAGGATTATTAAAGTGTACTTTGATATTAAAATTCATGCAACAGATTTGCTTTACATAAAATTTCCTGGA